TAAAAAAAATATATATATATATATATATAAATATATTTCCAATGATTGCTTGTGTTGATTTCTCTACAATAAATTATTTTATGGAAAAGTTTGATGACAGAGTTGTAATTGTTTGTAATGCATGTAGCTACAAATAATGTCAATTATCCATATGCAATTACACTGGAGCTGAAGGGAAATTACAAATTCTTTTGAAGTTAACATGAAAATGGGGTGACCTGATCACAAAATTGTTATTTTATCATTTTGATTGATTAATTTTGTTTTTAAATTCATCTTACCTTTATATTTCCTACTCTTATAAACACTGCATGGACTAACCAGATAGCTGTACTATGTGTTCAGTTTTTAACTGTCTTTGTATTACTATTCATTAAACAGACGAAGAAGGGCCGAAACAGTCCGTTTCTAATATCAGGATCTCGTGACAAGACGATTAAATTATGGGATATTGGTGCAGGAGTCTGTGTGATGACATTGGTAGGTTTTAAAACTTGTTATGCCTCTCAGTGCTATTTAATACAATATAGCAAAGACAATTAAACATGATGACTTCTCTTGATAGGTTGGTCATGATAACTGGGTGCGAGGTATATTATTTCATCCTGCTGGCAAGTATATAGTTAGTGCAGCTGATGACAAGACAGTAAGAATATGGGACTACAAGAATAAAAGATGTTCTAAGACATTAGAAGCGCATCAACATTTTGTCACCTCACTTGGTAAGTTTCTTCAACCAAAGTACACTTTAGCAACATTGTAATTTCCTCCAAGCTAACACTGTTAGTGGAATTTCAATGTGGCATTTATACAGATGTGTTACTGACTGCAGTCTAATGCTAGTTGCGTTAATCATTCTGTCAATGGTTTTGCTGCATGGATCATTCGGAGTGATCATCCTAATTATTTTATGTTGACTGTGTTTCCTTGAATCGTGTTATTTGTTGTCTGAGACGTCAGTAGTTGCTTATAATGGTAACTTATTTGCTTTATTAGTAGCTTGTACTTTTACATAAATTAGTCTGTTTTGATGATCAAAATCAGTAATATTTTTATGATTCACTGTACAGAAATGTGATTTTTGGTTTATATGCACTTCTATCGGAGATTCACTTCTAATAGAGCTAATACAAATAATTAATAATTAAAGAAATGTGTCAATTAATTTATGCATAATGATGTCTTTTTTTTGGTGAAATACTGAGCAGTCTACAGCTTGATTGACATGAATATTAAATGCAGGTTTGTTTAATTTTATTCACAGCTTTCCATAAATCATCTCCTTACGTTATCACTGGTAGTGTTGACTTGACCGTTAAAGTCTGGGAGTGTCGTTGATGGCAGTTACCACCCGAATTGCCCCAACTCCAGCAACATGTACCAAAATGTTTGGACCATTACATTACATGATGAAAAAGAACGGAATCTACTATAATACCGATTTATGGCATATCTGTTACTACAATCTCGATATAAAGTCGCTTCTATTACTTGTCTTCGTTTGATATATGTGTATATGCAGTTGATGAAATAATAATTCAAAATATATTGTAACAGAAGTTTTTGCCATGCCATGTTTTGTAAAGCAGTGATGCACATCTGATGAGAGTATAGGCAACTAGGAAAGAAACTAGTCTTTTAGACTTCACACACATAGACGTAGATTGTCGTCTTGCCATTCGTTTGCTAGAATTTTTTTTTTCTTGTGGGAAGCACTTAGTTTTTTGAAGTAAAAATAACATGGGATAGTAAAAAAAAAATGCAGTTAGGGAGTCCGTGACTCCACACGTCTATGAAGATTTGTTTTTAAGTCTTTTGAAGCCTTAACTGCAGCACCATTTGTGATTTATCATCCGTCATATAGGTGTTTAGATTTAATTGATACATCCAGTATTAGAAAAAAACAAATCTTACCGTGATGAGCTACATTTATCACAGCTGTTTCTCAAAGGCTTATTTATTTCTCCTACTTTAGGCAGTCATTTACACTTTCCTACTAACTTAGGGAAGTCATTTACAAAATATTGTGGCTGCATCAGTTTTCCTTTGGAAATAAGTCTTTTTAAAAACAGTTTTCATTTTTGTTCCTTGCTAGTTACTTTCTATACTCTCATCAGTACCAACCCAGTGAGCCCAGTTGTATATCCTGTATCCCATTTTGTGCACAGTAAGTTGATAAATTGAACATATTTATTATTGTTTTGTGTTTGGTTAGAAAGCCAAACCTAAAATACCAAAAAAAAAATAGTAACAAAAATACAGTAGGTGACAAATTAGCCAAACTTTATTGTCAAATATGTTGTATATTACAGTCATGGAGTAATGTAGCTTTTGATTGGCTGTAAGGTGATAGATATGGCCTTTTGATTGGTCATTTGGCAGGATTATCCAATAGTAAAAATCCTTACAAATGTGGTTTTAAAAATGATAATATATAGGCCCTGAACACTCTCACGGAAGGTAGTTTCCTAGCTAAATATTAACTAGTGTATAGGTGCTTTTGAATGTGTAAAATATAATAATTACAAATTTCTTGTGACAATTTCAACAGTGAAGCATGTTGTTTATTGAAAATTATTGAAAGCTTTCTATTTTTCTGGTAGATTTTATGTTAGTCTGAAGTCCAGGTTTGCACCAGTTTCTAAATGAAATCAAATTTCGCTATCTGCCAGTCATTTCTGAATTACTTGTGTACGCTTGTTGGGATCATGGTCACAGTGGGGTCATCGCCTGTGTCTGATGCATGTCTGTTGTAATGTTCTTGTCTCTAGCAGTGCTTTCTCATTGTGCAATGGGATAGGTTTGCTTGAGTAACTTGTATTTATGAAAAAAATCATTAGCTCAATGAAATTATGCTCAATTTGAAATGCAGATGTTTATTTTTTTTGTCCTAAAACATTTAAGTGCACTGTTACTCAGGCTTTGATTACTGTAAATTCATTAATTATTCACAAGGTTTTGTTTTCCCTGATAAGTGAAATCGGCTAAATTAAATTCATGTGTAAAATATTAAATAGTGAAATTAAATCCCAGTGAAAATGTTTTTACAGTATCTGCACTGATTTTGAAACAGTTGGTCTTTGAGTAATAACCCATTCTGTGTAACTGAGCAAGTTCACTGGCATGACAGGTGTGTTCTGCTTTTGCATTAATAGTACGCTATTATTCAATTGCCTTTCCTGAAACCACATGTGTGATAGTACACTTGACAGCTTTCAATTTAGATGTAGTGTGAAAAAGAGCTTGTATAATCTCATACACTTCTCCAACTGATTTCAAGTCTTGGTGTTGCAGCTTTAGATTGTACTTCAAGATGTGCAGAGATAGTTTTAAAAGCTACACAAAGTATACTCTAAGGCATAATGTGAATTGACTGATTTTTAACCCATATCTTGTTAGTATTTAGTAATATATATTGCAATTGATGTAGTTGTATAAATGATAAAATGCTTCCAGAAACCTTGACCTTGTAAATTTTTGCTGTACATGTCCTCAGAACGTTCTTTTCAATACCCAGAGTTCATGACCATGACCATGACTAGGCTGTCTTGCTGCCAGCCCTGATATTAGAAACAAATCAGTTCATAGTCTGTTCTGTTTGCCATTTGTATATTTTTCATTCAAGTTTTATAAAATAATTTTTTGGTTGATGTAACTTTTTTTTTTTAAATGCATATTATTACACCATTAGTGGTGTTTGGCACTTTACTTTTTATGTTTTGTTCTGTTTACTTTCTGCTTTTTGCGACTGGCTACATTAGAGCAGGGATTATGAATTACATTCCCAGCATTATTGAATTATCAGTGTACACTCTTATCTTGGTATTTTTGTAGAAATTAATGTTTTGCACAAATTTCTGCTCAAAACAGGACAGGGCTTTTTCTGAGGCTTGTTTTACATACATTATTTGGTGCTAATATTCTTGTTTAATTATGTTCTCTAAATATTTCCAAAGTCCTTAGCTTAAAACCTATTCCAACATATCAGTCTTTTGTCTTGATGAATTGTGCTTGTATTTTAGATGTTCCTATGTCACTCTGAAGCACACCATTTGAGCCGCATACACAGACAGCCACATTACTTTTCCTCTCCAAAAACACAATATTTATATCCTCAGAATTCACCATTTGACTAAATTTACATATTTTCAGTCTTTTGTAAACTCATTACTTTGACCTTTTTAGTTATGACAAATAAAGTCTGAATGAACATGGACAAAAATATTAAAACTTGGCGAGTTGTAAGTTAAATCAGAGAATTCACTGCACTCTTTATGGTCAATCTACTATAAAATTATGAAAAGAGTGCACTGATAATTCAATTCCTGGATTCACCTTTTTCTTTCTGCTTACATTGAATATTACAATCCCTGCTGGAAGAAAACATAATCTAAATAACTAACTGTAAATATTTGATTTATTTTTCAAAGCTTGATATCTGTCCCATTCAATATTGTGTACTGATTCTTGTATATCATTTCCTGTAGCTAATCCATGTAATATTTGGGGTTATATTTTATCTCACTATTTCTGTCATCTTGTACACCTGTGAACACCACTGTTTGGATGTAAAACAAAACCGGTTCTCAATTTGACACGCATGTCAAATATTCACACACTAGTTCTACCTATTTACTCATTTTCTGGCAATCAAAGTGTAAATAAAATTCCCAAACATTGAGAAAAGAAAGTTTTGAAAAGTTACTATTCAGCATAGAATTTGCACCTAGTTCGAATGTTCAGATTCTGTTCAACAGTCCGAGTTGCCAGTCAAATAGTTTTAGATTTACGTATCTTCATTTTATCCGTTATGTGGTATTTACAACTCTCTTATCACATTTTCTTCTTAATGCATTCATCCAGCACCAAAGGACGACAAATCATCCTTCATGTATGAAGATCTCATTTTAATTGTACACTGTATTTAAAAACAAAACTAAGAATATTGTAGGTCATGTGTAATCCCTGCAGCTTTTGACATCTTTTGGGATAAAATCTTGTAGTACAAGTTTACCTGATCACATGTGCTACAAATTGTTCATTTTTATTACACTGAAACATGTTGTAGCTGTTATAGATATTGATAAAATAAGTCTTGAGCACATACTTTGTAAACTAGTTTTAGTTTGAAAACCAATAGACCTAATGTGAAAATGATCTCCAAGATATCTAGAGCCATATGACTTGTGTTTACCACTCAAATAGTGTTCCATTTTCTCTAGTCGTTTACATCCACTCAGTGAACACGATGGCAAGAACAGTGGATACAATGACGTAAAAATAATGAAGCACAAGATCAGAGTGTTCGTTTGGGTCTAGGGTCTGTTGCTCAATTTTCATTAGTCTATAATTTAGATGTGCTGTCTACAATATAAATATCACAGTGCAGTAGTAAAGTTACACTAAACAAAGCTGTACTGTTTCTTGTTTGTATATTGTCAAAAGCACTGTTGGTATGAATGATAATTTGTGATTGTCATTTACAGAATTGCCATCTTGCCATATTGCATCCTCTTCAGACTCTGATATCAAAGCTTTTCATCACTGCATGTTTTGCGCAAATTTACTGAATAAAAAAAAACCCTTACCAAAGATCAAATGCTGGTTATTTTTTTCCTTGGTTAAAAGTTTCCCTTTGATAGCGACAGCCAGCAGTTTTTTTTTTTGACTGTTCAGGTAATTCTCACATCATTTTTGCATACAAACTTTCATTAATTGATATGTAAAAAGTACCAGTTGAAGGAGGCTTCTACAACTTTTGAGTATTTTAATATGAAAACCAATCCTAGAAGTGAGCTATTTGGACATTGCTCTAGTGAAAATCGGCTGTGGTTAGGTTCAGTAAACATTAACTTGTTTCTATCTTTTGCTTTCAGAATAAGTTGAATTGGTTTTATTCAAACACGTTTCACATAATGAAAACTGGTTCCCTTATCTGTCATAGCTGTATAAACACATGGTTTTATTTATATTGGTCCTTCCTGACACTTGACTTGTTACTTAATTATCACAATATTCATTATCATTTTTCTAATTTACTTTATGCAACTATTAATTTGAATGATCTTAAAGAATGTATATTGAAATGTGTACATTTTTTAGTTTTTGAACAGAAGGCATTTTCTGCAAGTTCCAAGGTTAGAATGTAAAAAAAAAAAACTAAGCCAGGAGTCTGTCCAATTCTGTGTTTGTTTTTTTCATGCTGTGTAACTTGTAATTATTGCTTAGCCCTGTCTGTAGTAAGTATTAAAAAAATAAATGGGATTTTTCATGATGGTTGTTGCTTGATGCAATTATACTGGATATTGTATTACAACTGATTGGATGTCTCGCATTTCTGAATTTCTTGGTTGCTGGAAAGTGACCTGCTTGCAATGCAGAATGGTAAAAATTCATGAGTAGTTTTCAGTTCTTTGCTGTGCTGAAATTGCTTACACTTTATATGAATATACCATTTGTGTATAACACAACACTTTTCTCTGACTTGTATGCTGTGAAAGCTATATTTTTGATCTCTTATCACTTTCCCCAACTTTGAAAGTTCGTCAGTATTCTGGATG